AGAGATGGCAAAGTCGCCGGACACACTTTGGAGTTTACAAAGTGCAATTTTCCTTTTTTATGATCACCGCTTGGTCAAAGGTCATTATTCTTGTCATGAGGTTCTATTGATTGATTGATTGATTGATTGATTGATTGATTGAAAGATAGTGAGATCACAGAGGCAGTGCAAATCACGTGAGGAGTAGGAAGCATTCGAAGCAATAAGGGGAGTATCAATTCAGTCGACTTGGAAAGAAAGCAAAACGCATCTCGCGAGTTGTTTTAGGTGAATGACCCCTGCAATTTTTTCTTTTTTTTCTAAAAACGTGGGTGAAGATAATTGGCAGGTTTGGAAGAACGTACCGTAGCAACGGCGAATAATTCGGCTGTCTTTTTTACATTGGTTCTCTACATGAGTGACAAACGGGGAGACGAAGCGAGCACCTGGGAACGTAAATGCCAACTAAATACGAAATTGTTTAAGGGTCGGAAAGGCGCTTGCCATTTATTCATGCAAAAAAGAACAAAATTTATTGTTTTAAAACCACTTAACAAAACATACACTATCAAAAGTATTCTTAGCTTTCAGGGACAGCCTATTGAACGCGGTACGTCTCTTAAATTCCTCGGTGTCTTTTTCGGGAATATTTAGATTGGCCTGTGCATATAAATTACTTACGAAATAAGCATCTCTCAAGCAGCTGGCGTACAATTCACGCTATGTCACTTATTACGAGTAGGGTTAAATAGACAGATTTATTACACAAAAATACATTCTCACCATCAGTATTGCCTTTTCATATAAAGAACGACGACAAAAACTATACCTCAGCTACTTCTATCTATAACAAAAATCACGTGTGCGATTAATTGAACTCCTATCCTTTCGTTCGCATGTGACCCTTTCTTTAAAAAAAAAACATGGACTGCTAGTCATTAATAATATTCGATATAATAATTAGCAATGATCATGTAACGTGAAGTTAAATATAACCGAATTTAATTTTTGAGGAAGTCTCACGAGCGTGACCACAGTCAAAATTACGACACATCACTTTCAAGAAAGACACGCTTCGTACAAATTACGGTACACAAAAACTAACTTACCGAATTCCCCACTTCCTTAATGAACACCCCACTGTAATGACATTAATTGAAGAAAGTTCCTCCATTTACGCCTTCAATAAGAAGATACACACATTGCTCCTAAAAACTCAGACTTTCATACCTCTTCCGATTCATCTCCTTATTTTATGTAACTTGCATATGCTGCTGTGTATTTTATTAATTACTTTTATTTTATCTGCCATAGTTGTGCATAAATAGTCTCCCATTATTTCTTTATGTGCTAATTCACCATTATGTACATTTCTTTGCCAAACGGCTTGATGTCAGAAACAAAAATTGTTAATGTTTGTGGGTATTGTATGCATTCCAATTTTGTACTGCTATATATAACCGTTTATGTATCGTTGTAAACAGAGGGTTGGCACTTCGCCAGGCTTCCTTTGCCTTTACGTCAATTCCCTAGGCAAATTGTGTATACGGGTTGTCTGAAATAAAATAAATAAATAAAACTATGAATGCCCGTCGTTATCGACTGTCGATATACTTCTTTCTCTTCGTTTGTTTGAGGGCTGCGTTTGCCGCATAATTAAGCGTAACGCGCGTAGGTTATTAGGGAGTTTTAGAATACCGCTTGTAAGCGCTGCGGGCGTTGCGGGCGTAGCGGGCGCTATATGAGCTTTAGAATAGCGTTTGTCCTGCTGCAAACCGCAACGCACGATGGCGGCGACACCGTAGCCTCAAAACCAGCGCTTGCGGGCCACATGCGGGCCGCGATCGCCGCACGCAATTTCGGATTTTCTGCGTGCAGTCCGCGAATGCCGACTCGCGTTACGACGCATGCGCAGTGGCAGCGACCGCACCGCAAGGGCTCGCGGTGCGCTATTCTAAAACTCCCTATTAAATGCAGACATAGTGACGCGCCTGTAATCGTTCTCACAAACGGTGCCGTCATTCTTGGCACATCGAGAAGGTCCGGCAGAAGGGCGTGCGCGCTAAACTTTTTGCAGGGAGATGCGTCCAAAAGAAGAGGGTAGAGGAGGGAGGGGGGTGTCATCCATTACTGGCAGGACACTTGTCGTGAATGAGAGGGGAGATTATAAACAGTCTGTAACGTGCGATATTGAATGGCAATACTGAAAGCCAGGAACTCAGTGTGCTTATCAAGCGGTGCACTCTACAGCTGCTGCATTGAAAAGTATAATAAATTCCTGGGGGAGCAGCTGCTCCGTCTGCCCCAACCTTGCACCCTCTTCGAGGCGTCCATGGTGTGGCAGTTTCCTTCTTTGGTGCTTTGGTTTTGCCGGCGAAAATTGGTCGTCAATTCATCACTCCGCAAGAAATACCAGCGCACGAGCTCTTTGGAAATCGCGAACCGTTTATGAGTGCTCCGCACGAAGGAATTACCTATCCCATTCGATTCAACCGTATATCCCGGCGGTTCGAGATTAAATCATTTTTATAATATTATCTGTGGTTTAACGTCCTAAAGCCATGATATGATTATGAGAGACGCCGTATATACTGGAGGGCTTCCAAAATTTTTACCATCTGGAGTTCCTTAACGTGTACCTCAATCTAGAAGCACGCGGGCCTCAAACGTTCTTGCCTCCAACTGAAATGCAGCCGCCGCAGCCGGGATTCGATCCCACGACCTGCGGGTCGGCAGTCGAGCATTACAACCCCTGGACCACCGCGGCGGGAACTTATTCATTTTAAGTGTTATAATTGGCGTAATCAATGTACGTTTTCTTAAGATCTCTGCGACCACAACAAAAGTAAATGAAGTCATTTTGAAGCCGATGTTTAGTAGGACTGGCAAATGGGCGAGTCGGTATGGGTTCACATTAATAAAACCTGCCTCAAATCAAGGCGACTTCATTCGGAACCCACGTACACAAACATCGATTCTCTATTGAACTATCGCATAGGCGCGCGCAGAACACAAATATATAACTGCACGTGGCCACGAAGAAAAGATCAAAAAGAAGGAAATGCGTTTACCCATTTCAGTACAATGCGTGTTTGTGGTGCAACGTAAGATATGCACGCTAACAATCTGTCCCATACATGTGGTTGCACCGTATAAAATAAGAGCATTTGGTAGATGCTTTTCTGTTAGTTTTATTTTCTTTTGTTCGTCTACATACTAGCGTATAGATTTGTGTTCTGCGCATGCGAATATTAATCTAAGATGAGTCGGCGCTTGTGCTCGTGCATTGACGGCGACTGCCTCTTACTTCGTGGCACAGTTTCATGGTTAGTAGACCGTAGCAACTCACTCAATCAATTGTCAGTCATACTAACGGTGCATTCATAATTACTTTTAGTGTGGCAGGTATCTTAGATTATTAGTAACGGTATAACTAGACGTTTCACGTCTCAAAAGGACGAAATAATTGCGAGAGATACCGTAATGAGGGGCTCCAAAAATTTCGATTTCATATTGATTGATTGATATGTGGGGTTTAACGTTCCAAAACCATCATATGATTATGAGAGACGCCGTAGTGGAGGGCTCCAGAAATTTCAACCACCTGGGGTTCTTTAACGTGCACCCAAATCTGAGCACACGGGCCTACAACATTTCCGCCTCCATCGGAAATGCAGCCGCCGCAGCCGGGATACGAACCCGCGACCTGCAGGTCAGCAGCCGAGTACCTTAGCCACTAGACCACTGCGGCGGGGCAATTTCGACTTCCTAAGGTTCTTAAAAGAGACACTGAGTAGAAACAATGAGTTGTTTCGTATTGATAAACTGTACTCTGATAACTCTAATGTCGTACGTTTCACTGTCATAAGTTCATTATTAGTGAAGAAAGTCGAAGTTTAAATTTTGATGAAGGATGTCTCGAAGGGCCAGTTAGTACATGATACTGGGTTGAACAGCGCCAAAACGGGACGTATGTGTTAACCATTATTTCTACGTCCCGTTATTGTGCTAACGTATAAATTGTTTTACTTTGATTTTAAGCTTTTCGTCGCTGAGCATCAGCGAGCCAGCCCCACGGCAACGGTAATTAGTAATTACCCGGACGAGTCGAGACAGTTGCTCTCAGTTTGCGGGTTCTGCATCCCGGATGCAGTGACAATCGCAAAAATCACTGTCGAGGTCAGCATACCATAGTTTTCATAGTTTCCATACCATAGTTTCCAGATCGTCGTTTAAGCGTGCCACGAGCGGTAGACAGATCTACCGCTACTAAGTCGCGAGCTGCTGTCAGCAGGTGGCGCCACACTGCCTGAAACGTTCACCGAGAAGCCACTCTCTCGATAACGAAACCTAAGCTGTGTTTCTAAGGTAACAGTATTAAAATACACTCGATGCATTCCCAGACACTGCATTACGCTGCTGGAGCTTCTCGACATCCGCGTTTTTATATAGAGCAACATTGTGAAAATATTTATAATACATGTCAATACACCTTTAAGCCAAGTCAATTTAGCATCAATAAAGAGGCTACTTGGGTAAACACACACAATTTTGCCACATTTTGTTTTTCATCACCCGTACGTGAAAACACACTCCTTTTTTCTCACTCCATCGAGCTTGTGCAAGCAACGCCGATCCTGGGTAAAACAATAAGTCAGTGTTCATAAGTGTTGCGTTCCTTATGGTTCACATCCCTCACAGGCACAACCACTCTGGCTGAAAGTTCTGGCAGGCCACCACCGAGCAATAGATGTCTCTCGCCTTTTTTTTCAGGCTTTTCTGACAGCAGGAGCTTTCATTGGCTGAAGTCCTGATGACAGGCGAGCATCTGCGTCGCATGTCACGCTCCGGCTTTCTTTCTTTCTTTCTTTCTTTCTTTCTTTCTTTCTTTCTTTCTTTCTTTCTTTCTTTCTTTCTTTCTTTCTTTCTTTCTTTCTTTCTTTCTTTCCTTCTCTCCTTCTCTCTTTCTTTCTTTCTCTCTTTCTTTCTTTCTTCTGTGAGTCTTTCTTCTGTGAGCCAAAGCCCTACCGAAAACGGTATTGGGTAGAACGGGATTTGAAAAAGGCGTAATAATGTTGCTAGCTGGTCCAGCGCAACTGCCCGACACTCAGAAGGCATCAGTTAATCGGGCACGCCAGCGCCTTTGAGAAGGTGGCCCGAGATGAAAGGCTTCCTGCCGCAGTCGTGGCGGCACCCGTAGCGTGACCACGGGTTGTCCGAGGCGTTGGCTGGCCGCAACCTGTTCCGAAACTCACTCTCCTTGAGAATGCTGGCCAGACGGTGCGGCATGTTCGTGATTATAGCGTCCACGTTTCTCCTGTGACAATGAGGAAAGGAAAAGACAAAACCTTTTGTAGCAAACGAGCTGGAAGTTTATATGTGTACACGTGCCAACAACAATTGAATCGATGACCTCCGTTTTTTATGACAGCATTTTTATTTGTAATTGCTAATAACCAAGCTAACACATGACCGTCTCTTATTGTTTTCTGTACTCGCCACGGGCTGACACATCATTATGTAATATTTTAAAACTATAGCCAACACATAGTCGGTACGGCTTGTTAGATCAGTCTTTCTAATATTGCGTAAATATGAACCCATTAGGCGAAAGGAATTCTTCTACTTCAGTGTCCACTTAAAGAAGTGAAATTATCATAATGATAAATAATACGTGTAATGATGATGCGACGCAAAACGAAGCTGGGACATATTGCACATGATTATTGAATTGCGCTACAGGGAGACGTGCACAAAGCTGGTTGCCCTATATAGTGATACGAGAGTATCGCGATTGTATTCTCCAGGCCTTTCCAACGCCACCAATGAAGAACTGTCTGCGATTGCGGGAAATTGACACATTACTGAGGGACACTCAATATTCTATTGCAAAAAAACGTAATGGAATAATAAATTGATTTATGTGTGTTACAATAATAATTCGTAGTTAAACTGATTGAATATGCATTCGCACTGAAGTCATTCAATCTCTGTTTTTACAAGAATAGAATGAAATGCCAGGCTAAAAATAGCGTGCAAGATTGTTTTCGGCCATGTTCAACTTGAGCAAAAGAAAAATGATACTTTTGTTGTGGCTCGCCAGAAGCAGTACGTAAAACTGCAGGTAGAGCCAAGGCCTTCGAGATGAGCCGGAGATTAGCTGGCGGCTATAACAAGAGGCCATGGTTGAACACTGCAGTGCGTCCAGCAATGTGGTTACATGCAACAGTATGCATTACGAAGTGAAGGTAAATGAAGACACATTCATTCACCAGGGTGTTCAATTTCCGAAGGCTTTCGTTGCCAAGGCTTTCGCAAGTCTAGATCTGCCGGCTACCTACAACATCCTAATCCTAATCCTGAGTTGGACAGCTGTAGCTCCTACGTAACCCGAGAAGAGATATCGCCATGCTTCAAAACTTTCAGGTCATAAAGCTGGTATTTATTTACTCTAAATCGAGCTCGGACTCATCTGTGCAGGGGTTTGAAGACAATCTTTTTGTCATTTGATAACCTCAAGTTCAGGTTGAATCGACGCTGCCCAGGAGACAGGCAGCCTATATTTGAGAAGATTGTGTTGCTTGAAAGAGCCATTTGTTGAAAATATAATAAACGCAACCAGTCAGTGAAGACATGGAAGAAGAAGTAGATCGTGTTCGATGATGACAAAGATGGCTTTTGTCTGAATTATTCCGCGCCAGTTAACACATAGCGTCCACATAATTTGGTGCTTAAACTCGGGACGTAATATGTGGAAGCTTAGTGACGATAAACAGCGCTTGTGTCGCTTGTGTCGCGTGTTCAATCTTTCTCTGTTCCGTTTTTGTGCTCTTCTACTCAGTATCATGTACCAACTAGCCCTTCAAGAAACCCTTCTGCAACGTTAAACGGCTCGGAAGAACTCGTCCAGGAGCCATCGTCGCCATGATCGAACGTCGTCTACTTCTTCTTTGCTTTCGCTGGCTCGCTGCGTTTATTATATTATCAACACCATTATAGTAACACTATTCTCAGCCAAAGACATTTTGTGTGCAAAACAAATGTACATATATTTTTATCAATTCACTTGCGTTCGCGATCAGTTCGAGATATATGCTCAACTTGCTAGTTTCGTCGCACGGCAACAATATTCACGGCATTCACTCCCTCTACTTAAACGAATATCGTTGCGGAGCCTCAGCATTCTGTAATAATTAGAAACAATGAGTTTCTGTATTGTTGTATCTGTATTACGGGATACTTACCGGCCTTTTAGTCAGAATATCTCTGAAATATCTCGCTATGTCAAAGAAAAACGTACATCATTATTTATGTTTCGGGCTTGCAGCATGTGCATTTTGATATCGGTATTCCAAATTATTTTTCTCGGTATCTATATCCACCCTGGTGAATAAAGATAATTTTTAGAATTCCTATATGCGATGATTGCGTCGAATAGCGCCTACCCAATAAAGGCGCTGGAGGAACACTGCGTTGTGGCGTCGCATGTTCTTCTTTTCTTTGGTCACCTTACACTGTGCTGTGCCTTTTTTAAGAAGCATACAGCGTAAAGTTGGGAAGCATAAGATCGGTCAACAGAAACAAGCGCCTCAGACAAAACAAGCCGACGTTTCGATAAGGAGACCTGTCCTCGTGTAAGGTCCTTCATCCTCATTGTTGCATTACTTTTAAAAAGATGGCAACGCGCCTTTGGCGAAATCAGGTCCACCTGTTGAAACGTGCGCCTTTCTGAGAGACTTCTTGTTGATGGAACCGATAGTATAAGGATTATGGCTCAGGCTCTATGCGGAGGGAGATATTACATGCAATATGATGTTGATGAGGAACAAGAGCAGCACCTGAGTGACAGACGGAGCTGGTCCCAGATGTCTATGGTCCACTGGTAAGCTTTGTCGACGTAGCACGATTCTTCATCAGAGTCACGGTTTCTGACGATGCTGTTCATCCTTCCTGCCGGTCGTGCGTAAGAAAGGCAGTTCGTGATGCCGTCCCCTTGCCACCGATGGCCTTCAATGCCGAGTTTCCGGTAAAATTTGCCGATCTTCTCGAGATCGTCGTTGTTGCTAACGTCGAACCCTGTGCATCAATAGACAGCGGGGTCTTCCTGTATAGCACTTGAACTGAACGAATAACGAACGAAGCAGCAACAAACTCACTGGCGATGCAGTGATGAGCGCGAGACGTGCATTAGGTTTAATTACGCTTGATCAATGAAAACAAAAAAAGTCAAACCTAGGAGCAGAGAGAGACCGATTGCTGACTCCTAACTAGAGGCGTTGCCAGGGGCTGGCACACCATGCACGTGCCCCCTCTCCCTTCAATTTTTTTTTGTCATGTAGTATAGAGAAAATACTATAAAGTTTTTGCTCGGTCCCTGTCTCATATCAAGGAAGCCACATTGCCCATAAACAGCGTAAAATACGTTATCAACGAAAAAAAAAAGAAGCGAAGCTTCTTTTCAGGATGATTACCTATCTTGTCGATCATTTCGGGTCTTTGGCGAAGGATGGTTGTGATCGCTCCCCAGAGTAGTTCCTTATCGTCCACGCTGTGTACACACAGGAGAACGTTCAGCGCCTTCTGGATAGGGACTGCGCAACAAAAACTGAGATAAGAAATGAACAATAGTCACGTTGACTACGTGCCGCCAGCCGAAGGCGACATTCCTTACTTAAACGCAAGCCGATACGTATTTTATCTGCACTTTGCGTCCCAGAAGCCACACACAGCATCGTTGCACATGTTATTCAATGTTGTGGGTTCGATAGTCTTTTTTGGCTGCTTCAACGCACAAATGTCTGTATGTCTGTGTGTCGATTCAGACACCCAGTGAGAGCTTCACCCCTTGGGCAATGCCCACCATCTCGATCTCTTGACTGCGTTTATACTTGTGAACATTGTCAGTTAGAAAGCAAATAATACGCATATTTGAGACGCAACATCAATTAGCATTGAGTAGTGTGTTTCTTTATTCAAAAAATGCATAGATGCGCCATTCTAAAGTCCGACGAGTTTATTACGCTACGCTGACAATGCGACGCTACGAACGGAAATGCAGGTGTTTCTTACTTATTATTGCTAAAACGACATGGTGCTGCCATCTACCAGTTTTATTGCGTTCTAAAAAGGTCACAGCATATCCACGGAGCGAGTGCTGATGATTGGCGCGAAGCGCTGGAGGGTTTGATTGCTAAACTGTGAACCATCCGCGAATATCACCCACTACACCATCAAAGACGTGACAAATACTGTATATATTTATGCAAGAAATGTTATTATTGGTAAGTGGTATCTATACGTCGCTTTCATTTTCCCTTCATTATAACAGCTTTATGGTCGGTGAAATGATGGGTCGGTGACGGGGCGTAGTGGGATGTTAGTGAGGACGAAATAGGGGGCAGTTTGGAAAAGTGGAACTATAGGCGGTCACGTAGGAAAAAAAAGGATGAATACAGTGGAAAAATCTGTTTTTTTGACGCGCACCAGTATGCAAGTACACGGCCATCTTGCATTTCATATTGGCTACTTCTCAACAGTATTGGCTTTATTCGTCGCTGAAGTGGGGGATTGGTGATAGGGTGTAGTGGAATGTTTGCAAGATGGCTACATACACCAACGGAGGAAGGACGGACCCACACCCTAAGGAGCTCCCCCCCCCCCCCCACCTAAAACACTCGTTTCATTACATTACTGCCAGAGGGAGTCCATATCTCATACAACGGCTTCAGAGAAAAGACTATCGTCTCTCGACGTCTTTTGCAGTAGAGAACGCAGATACTTGGTCATTTTTTTACTATAAAGTTAAGATCATTTTCCCCTTTGTCTCATAAAGACGACATATAAACTTAAGGCTACACAATATCCAAAGGTTTCCTTATTTTTCATTCCCTGGCGAATTCAAATAAATTGGCAGCACTAGAAAGTCATGAAGCGAGTGCACTCTTCTCGTTCACGATGATCTACTGGACTTTGGTGCATTTAATCACTTATATTCAACCCAACGTTCTCCACATGTCACGGCACATGCGGGCTTTCTCTAGCGGGGAATTCGCGAGACAGCTCTACAAATGTCCCAGGTAAATTAAGCCAGAGTTTAAAAATATGCCGGAACACGCAATTACGACGTGACCAAATGCATGTTGCTCGCCGTAGCCTGAGGTAGACTATTTTGTATGTTCTTAAATAATTTTAATTAGATCTACCTAACTAACTTTTGAAGTAACGAAGATGGATAAAAAACTTCAAGAAGAAAGTTGTAGATCAGTTTCCAAAACGTCCAAATGGATAGTTTTGAACTTTATATCTGTTATGTATTAGTGTTTTTCTGCTAATTACAAATGCCCGTGAAATAAAAAAAAAAATACCACGCGCCAAACACGCTCGCGCGTCAGTGCGCACGATAATTCTAGTGCTCCCTAACGTTCCGCGTATCAACGACACGCTTCCCTCGCACCGGTTTTTGACAGCGATGAGCAGTAACAGCGGTTATTGTTTCTGTGGCCGATAGCAAAACGTGTTCATCGGAAAGCCACCACCATCGTTAAAGACGTGCCGAGACAGCATAATGGGGCAAATGCTATGGTCGTTCGTATGTGTAACGTTAGGGAGCACTAGAATCATTGTGCACACTGGCTCACGAGCGGGTTTATCACGTGGTATTTTTGTATTTCACGGGCATATGTAATTAGCACAAAAACACTAATACTTAACAGATATAAGGTTCGAAACTGTCGAATCAGATGTTTTGCAAACCGATCTACAACTTTCTCACAGGAATTTTTCATCTATCTTCGTTTCTTGAAAAGTTAGTTGAATAAACATATCTAATTAAACAGTATTTGAGAACACAAAGAATAGTATAACTCCAGGCAGTGGTGAGCAACATGCATTTCGTCCCGTCGTAATTGCGTGTGCCGGCATATTTTTAAACTCTAACTAAAGTTACCCGAAACACCTCGTATATCTCGGAGGCTCTCGTTGTGGTGATACTGGTTGTTTTACCCCTACCAAAACGGCAGAAGGCAGTACCGAAAAGGGAAAAGACGAATTTTCGAGTGTTTGTAGTCGTAACTAGCATATATGATCACACATACTTGTTACGTTCAGAATATATGAAGTTGTTGAATTAACTTGGTTAATACCGATTTGCTCTATGAGTCACCCTAAGCAACATTGCACTAAGCACATAGGGCAAATTAGCAGGTAAACGTGATGGCTCCAAATCATCGCAATAGTTGAAAGAAAGATGGGCCGTGTTGAAACGCTGGTTAACCAAGTTAAACGAATGGTAGCTTTTTTTTTTTTTTTGGAATGGGACGAGACATTTTTTGCGTGTCATGGTTTATTCAAGGAAGACAAAGAAGTCTAGATACTTCTCATGTGATTTTAAAAGAGAAAAGAAGAGAAAAGTGAGCTCCGTAACTGTCTGCATCACAGTGCGACACCTCAACAGTAGCTCAACCTTTTCTACAAATACACTAGGCGGAATTTTGACGCTAGTGTCTCAAGGAGCTGCTGGGCACGGCGTTTTAGCTGTAGCATAGGAATGACGAGTAGTACACAGGCTTTTCTAACCTTCGTTCTTTCGGCTCCGTTTGTCTTAGCGTGGCCTGCGTCCATTTTGTCGCAAGACGAGTTTCTGAACGTCGCGTTGTAGCTTCCTTAATCTTTATTCGAAGATTACCCCGCGTTGCCCGAAGGCGTTACAGCAGGGGGGTTGCAGCAGTGACATGAAGAATTCTTCGTTTTGACAGCAGACTTGCATTTGAGGCAACTAATTTCACTTTTTTATGGCTCTAACAAAACGAAAATGATTTTGCTAATAGGTTCATTTATGTGTTTTCTTTCGAGTTTAATGTTTTTTAGAGTGAATCACTATATGGCTAGGATTTCGTGTACATGTTCTAGGCCTCAACGAGAACTCATGTACCGCACTAATTCCGTCAAAATTTATAACTGGGTCAAACAGTATCATTCAGTGCCCCACCGAGGTGGTCTAGTGGCTAAGGTACTCGGCCGCTGACCCGCATGTCGCGCGCTCAAATCCCGGCTGCGGCGGCTGCATTTTTGACGGAGGCGAAAATTCTGTATGCCCGTGAGCTCAGATTTGGGTGCACGTTAAAAGACCCCAAGTGGTGAAATTTCCGGAGCCCTCAAATACGGTGCCTCTCATATTCATATGGTGGCTTTGGGACGTTAAACCCCACATATTATTATCATTCAGTACAGGCACTGTGCGGTATTGCATTCCAAGCCTTACAGGGTGTTTAGTTCATGCCACACCTATATCACGAAGATTTTCGCTTGCTTGCGTTATAATTTGTAAAGAACGGTGTGATAGTTCTAGCAATTGTTTTATCGAGCCACCTACTCAGTCGTTGAAAGCGTTGCGTGGAAAACTACGCGAAACGAGCGGAACTTAATCGATCAGGAATCCTTTCACGGCTCTTGACAAATTAAATTAAGGTTGTCCTGTTTGCCACAGAAAGGTTACTGTGGTTAACAGAAAGGTTACTTCCTAAAGTGGCTGCTATCACACAAGCTAAAGCAGCAGCATTATCCAAAGGCATTATTTGTTCGAGCTTTCGTTTTTTTTTCCTTCGAAGTGAAGGTCTTTGCGCCAGCGACAGATTATGAACGAGTGAGAAAGCTGACGGAGCCGCTGGGCCGCGTCGGCTCCTACATTCGAAAGGGGTGGCTGTCATGCATGACGTCGACGCCTCAGCGGGCAAGATGGCGGACCTATGCGCAACTCTGCTACCTCCCGACGCAAATTATATGAAATAATTCTTTGGTCAGTTGTGTGCAGATCCGTTAGGTGGCGTCTTGCTTTCCTCATATTCGCAATATTGGCGGTCATGCTGGCACTGCAAAGATATGGTGTTTCGTGATAGCATGTCGCCGTTCTGTGGCGCTATGCGGGCAATCAAGAGGAAAGTGTCGCTGCAACGCTACTGCATTCACCGACTTTAATGCCCGTGACACACGAGAAAAAGTGAAGTACCTTGAAGTGAACCCCTTTTGTCGCCAAAAGGGACCATTTACAGAAAGGAGTTGCGCCGATCACACGCGGCACCAGACGCAGCAACTGCCGCTGCCATGGGAGTGCTAGTGAATAATGCGGAAGGCTGGGCCAGTTGGTACAACATAATGTGGAAGTATATGATCGCACAAGCTAGAAAGAAAAGCACTTGACAGGAAAGACACTCAACTTACAACTGAACTTTTATTAGAAAACATCAATTGCACGAGAACACAAACGCGCAGGCGCAACCAACTATCACTTCAAAGTGCCACGGCCATACGGGTCGTTGTTTGAATGATCGACTCCGAAAACATGCGACGTCCTTGAAGGTTCTCGCAGGTGGCACGCACTTCTCGAAGCACTGCAGGGATTGTGGGTGCAATGCGCAGTTTGGCAGCACAAGAATTCTGGGCAAATCTAAACACAGATTGACCAGAAAAATCATGGAACAGAACAGATTAGGGCGAACGCAAGCAGGTGTATCAATGTTCCTTCGGTAGCAATAACTGAAAAAGAGGTGTCTTCTTTTGAGCTGTTGAAGTAGATAAACGTATACCTCCTTTTCTTTTAAGTAAGGGGGGGGGGGTTGTAGCACTTTGTAGTGATAATTGGTTGCGCCTGCGCGTTTGTGTGCTCGTGCAATGCATGTTTCCAATAAAAGCTCAGTTGTAAGTTCAGTGTCTTTCCTGTCAAGTGCTTTTCCTTCTACCTTGTGTGCTCATATATTTCGACGTGGTGCTAGTGACGTCATGCGGTCGTTTGAGAGTACGCCTTTCCAGGTGCTAGTGATGTCACGCGGGTGTTTGTGAGTACTCCTTTCCGGGCCGAAAAGTAGACAGGATCTTTGCCGGAGAGGAGTTACTTCTTTGCCGTGTGTCACTGCACCGCCTGCCCGGAAGATGTCCCCTTTGTCTAAAGGAGTTTAGGATGCCCGTGTGTCACGGGTATAAGAGCCTTGCGATGCGGCGGCGGCATTGCTTCAAGCCACAAAGAAGGAGCACGAGGGAACAAGTCTGACAGACGTATACGATACTGGGATGGGAAACACGTATACCGCGTCTCCCGCGGAAAGCGTTCGAACGCACTTGTGACTCAGGCAGCGCTAGCTGCGCCACCTAAGGTCCCTAGATGAAAACAACTTGTTTCATGTAGGGACCTTAGCGGATGGATGGATGGATGGATGGATGGATGGATGGATGGATGGATGGATGGATGGATGGATGGATGGATGGATGGATGGATGGATGGATGGATGGATGCATGGATGGATGGATGGATGGATGGATGGATGGATGGATGGATGGATGGATGGATGGATGGATGGATGGTTGGATGGATGGATGGATGGATGGATGGATGGATATGGCTGTACCCTTTAGAACGGGCGGTGGCTAGCGCCACCAAGCCGTAATACCTAATGAACCAAAAACTATATTTATTTTTTTTTCCTTAAAAAGTGAGTTTGAGGATTCGTACTTTGCGGTGAAGAGTTTAATTTTCACTAGTGCCTTGACTTTAGCCACCAATCAGATAACCTCCTTCTAGTTAAGTCTACCCGCTTAAAGATTATTTTGCCCTCTCGGTCCCTAAACCCCAGTGCTTCGAAAAACTCTGCGCCATCATCCTGAACTATAGGGTGAAGCCCTTTACAGAACATTATCAAGTGTTCGGCAGTTTCTTCTTCCTCTCCACACGCACGGCATACTGTGTCTACCCCTTCGTATTTGGCCCGATATGTCTTGGTTCGCAGTACTCCCGTCCTGGCCTCAAACAGTAGAGAACTACCCCGAGTATTATCATAGATCTTTTCCTTGGCAATTTCCTGCTTAAAAGTTCGATAGATCTCTAGTGCGGACTTCTTAATCATGCCCATTCTCCACATGTCAGTCTCCGTTTCCTTCACTTTCTTCTTAACCAATAGTTCTTTTTGGTTTGGCCACCTGCTGTTTTCTAAGTATTTACCAGTCAGCTTCCTGGTTCGCTTCCTCCATTTTGTATCAACATTCTTCACGTACAAATAGCTGAAAACCTTCCTAGCCCAACGCTCCTCCCCCATTTCTCTCAATCGCTTCTCAAATTTTATCTTGCTGCTAGCTTCCCTGCCCTAAATGATGTCCATCCCATATCACCTTGTACTCCCTGATTTGGTGTATTCCCGTGAGCTCCTAAAGCAAGCCTGCCTATTCCACGTTGCTTAATTTCTAATCTTGCTTCAACTTCTGATCTCATGCACAAGACCGCATTGCCGAACGTCAGCCCAGGAACCATGACCCCTTTCCATATTCTTCGTTTTGACAGCACACTTGCATTTGAGGCTACTAATTCCACTCTTTTATGGTTCTAACAAAACGAAAGATTGATTTTGCTAATAGGTTCATTAACTTGTTTTCTTTCGAGTTTAATGTTTTTTAGAGTGAATCTCTATATGGCTAGGATTTCGTGTACATGTTCTAGGCCTCAATGAGAACTCATGTACCACACTAATTCCATCAACAATTATAATTGTGTCAAACAGTGTCATTCAGTGCCCCGCCGAGGTGGTCTAGTGGCTAAGGTACTCGGCTGCTGACCCGCATGTCGCGGGCTAAAATCCCGGCTGCGGTGGCTGCATTTTTGACGGAGGCGAAAATTCTGTATGCCCGTGAGCTCAGACTTGGGTGCAGGTTAAAATACCCCAAGTGGTGGAAATTTCCGGAGCCCTCAAATACGGTGCCTCTCACATTCATATGGTGGCTTTGGGACGTTAAACCCCACATATTATTATCATTCAGTAGAGGCACTGTGCGGTATTGCATTCCGAGCCTTACAGGGTGTTTAGTTCATGCCACACCTATGTCACGAAGATTTTCGCTCGCTTGCGTTATAATTTGTAAAGCACGGTGTGATAGTTCTAGCAATTGTTTTATCGAGCCACCTGCTTAGTCGTTGAAAGCGTTGCGTGGAAAACTACGTAAAATTAGCGGAACTTAATCTATCAAGAATCCTTTCACGGCTCTTGACAAATAAAATTAAGGTTGCCCTGTTTGCCACTTAAAACAGAAAGGTTACTTCCTAAAGTGGCTGCTATCACACAAGCTAAAGCAGCAGCATTATCTAAAGGTATTATTTGTTCGAGTTTTCGTTTTTTTTTTCTTCGAAGTGAAGGTCATTGCGCCAGCGACAAATTATGAACGAGCGAGAAAGCGGACGGAGCCGCTGGGCCGCGTCGGCTCCTACATTCGAAAGGGGTGGCTGCCCTGCATGACGTCGACGCCTCAACGGGCAAGATGGTGGACCTATGCGCAACTCTGCTACCCCACGACGCAAATTATATGAAGTAATTCTTTGTTCAGTTGTGTGCTGATCCGTTAGGTGGCGTCTTGCATTCCTCATATTCGCAATATTGGCGGTCATGCTGGCACTGCAAAAGATGTGGTGTTTCGTGATAGCATGTCACTGTTCTGTGGCGCTATGCGGGCAATCAAGAAGAAGGAGTCACCGCAACGCTCCTGCATTCACCGACTTTAATGCCAGTGACACACGGGAAAAAGTGAAGTACCTTGAAGTGAACCCCTTTTGTCGCCAAAAGGGACCATTTACAGAAAGGAGTTGCGCCGATAACACGCGGCACCAGACGCAGCAACTGCCGTGGCCAAGGGGCTGCTAGTGACGTCATGTGGTCGTTTGAGCGTACGCCTTTCCCGGTGCTAGTGATGTCACGCGGGCGTTTGCGAGTATATAGCTTTTCCGGGCCGAAAAATATGTATGCAGGATTTGCTTTACCAGAAAGGATCTTTGCCGGAGAGGAGTTACTTCTTTGTCGTGTGTCACTGCGTCCGAATGCCTGCCCGGAAGATGTCCCCTTTGTCTAAAGGAGTTTAGGATGCCCGTGTCACGGGTATAAGAGCCTTGCGATGCGGCGGCGGCGGCATTGCTTCAAGCCACAAAGAAGGAGCACGAAGTAAGTAGTCTGACAGACGTATACAATACTGGGATGTGAAACACGTATACAGCATCTCCCGCGGAAAGCGTTCGAACGCACTTGTGACGCAAGCAGCGCTAGCTGCGCCACCTAAGGTCCCTAGATGAAAACAACTTGTTTCATCTGGGGACCTTAGCGCCACCCATCGTGCAGCGTCGCGTCACGGCCTCTCCCTGAACTAAGGCATGGCACCCGTTGAGAAGGGCTTGTTTGCGCAGGCATTGAAATAGATGAAAGAGGCGTTGTTTGCAACTCACGCGTCCAAATACGATTGGCCCATAATTGCCAGCTCATTGTGCATCGCCGGCATACTGTTTTTGCTTACCTCCAAGCCAGAGATAATTCAGAAGCTTATTCGCGACGTCGACGCCCGCATCGTGCTTTTTGTCCGCGTAAAGGGTAGTACTCTTGAGATCCAAAAACAGAAGAGCCAGGTTGTTTTCGTATTTGCCCCCGTCTGAAAAAAAAAAAAATCCGTGCTTTAACTAAACTTGCACACGCGACCTGCCAAAGTCTGTAAGTGCGTCAGATATACATCTACTTGGTATTCACTTGCAACAGGACTTTATTTATTTATTTATTTATTTATTTATTTATTTATTTATTTATTTTATTTATAGACCCACTATGGTGGCCTAGTGCCTAAGGTACTCGGCTGCTGGCCCGCAGGTTGTGGGATCGAATACCGGCTGCGGCGGCTGCATTTCCGATGGAGGCGAAAATGCTGTTGTCTCGTGTGCTCAGATTTGGGTGCCCCCAAGTGGTCGAAATTTCCGGAGTCCTCCACTACGACGTCTCTCATAATCATATGGTGGTTTCGGGACATTAAATCTCAAGGTTTATTTGTTTGTTTATGGTTTTACTTATTTATCAAAATATACTTGTATCACCCCAATGGACACTACAGCAGAGGGGCTGCAGTCAGAAAAAAAAACAAAGTAATTTCATATACACAAAGTGTTGTTAAACACATCGCTGTCCAATATGTTCGCAATGTTAGGTGATAAGGTATTCAATTCTCTTACGGTTCGGGAAATAAAGAAGACTCAAGACGCCACCTCCGAAGGAAATTCATGGAACGTCTTTGCATGGTCGAGTCTCCGCGACACACAAGTGGGTAACTTGACATTGTCACGTGGACGTGACGTTGAAGAAAGCAGCAGTCTCTATGTCCACAATTAAACTGTTAAATTGGCCATAATTGTGCCCGGCAAGCTAACAAAAGGGCGAAACACACTCGTTCATAACGTTTTTGGGGCACAGTTTGTTAAGTGCGAGCCGCACACGCTCAAAACCGTTTGGGGGACAGTTTGGCGAGAATGAGCCGTGCTCATCCAAGTCGGACGAGCAAAGAAAAAACCTTACTTGTGGTCCGACGGAGATACTGCAGAAACGCCGGCACTTTTTCGTGACGTTCGCACCAACGGGCGCAGTCGCACGGTACACCGTGGAAGAACCAGACCGCGGTGCCATTACTGTCGAATGTGACGTCAGACTCGATGGCGTTGGCTCCCAGCTCCATGCCTTCGTCCACTTGCCAGATGGCGTTCGTCATGTGGTAGATGTTGTAGATGGGCCTGCGACCCGAGCCGCTCGTCTATATAGAAAGAGAAGCATTCGCTGTTATCGTTATTTCATAATAACGCGTCGATTGGTTGTTTGAAAGCGTGGTGTGTTGTTAGCAGCGATATGAAACAGAGTATCAGGTATGCTAACAATAATGGCGATCAGCTGTTTGTGGAGGATGATAAACGAAATGCATATATCGGCATGCCATAGATTGCTATGAACTAGGGAATATATTTTATTGGTCTAAATTGAACATATAAACCGTAAGGAGGAATGTTAGCAGTGGCGTTATCGATTACACCAGCCGCAGCCTCCCCCTTTCCTTCTTCTGAAGGCAAAGCAAAGCATCCCTAATGAGCGATTGAATTTCTCTTTAGACATACAGTGTATACAATGCTAAAACGGAGCTTGCCCAAACTTGCAAATTTTCATCGCGGCAATGACAAGCTTCTACTGTGCACTGCATTCTAATTGCATAGAAAGTCCGGCTGCGGAACTCCCCATCCCACCCACGTCCGGCATTTAGGAAACATAGGCCTGTTATTGCCCCATGCATTCTTTGAAGTGTCTACAAATCTGTAGCGACGGCTCATACTCTAACCCAGAGGCCTCGATAAGGGATGCCCTGCAAAATACGACGCGTTCGTTTTTGACTGGTTACATGCGACCTGGTTCAGACATCGGGCTTGAGAAACTTCGTGCAATGTGTCATCCTGTGGTATGTATGTACAGATAGACAAAGGGCATGGATTATTTGAGGCTGGCTAGACGCACTTAAGAGAAAATGCAGTGGAACATGGATAAACTGGCTTGGCGACGCTGGGCATCCTTCTGCGAGTCGTTTGATCCGCGAAAGCCTCTGTCGCCTATATGGAGAACGGTCCGGCGTCTTCGCACAACCTTTGGTCAGCGACACCCATTTACATCTCTAGCACTTCACCTAAAGCACAGAGAGATTGACGGCGCAGAATTTTCTCTTGGAAGGATTGCCAGCGAGTCAAACTTGACCAAAACGAGAATGGCGACACTTGACAACCAACTGCTCTCACGTAATCCCCGCATGGTGTGCCCATTTTATACGAATGAGGAAAGAAATGGGAAGTTCCCGTACCATATATGCTACAACTGTACGGGGTGTTGTTCCTCTGATTCCTGCAATACAGCTTACTGGAACTGCGTAGCGCCGGCAAGAATATAACCTGGGCACAATTCAGAGCATTCAAGTCCAAGCACTTACGATTTGCCTTTGGGTTGCCCCGCAGGGTTTCAACGGCTGAAACCAATGCCGCCGCGCAAGATTACTCAATCAAGACACGAATTATCACCGAGAACATGCGTAAGCACCTCAGACATTATGTCAGGACCCCTTCCCACCACCTGGCGTGCCTCGCTGCTGAAAGGCCCCGCACGACACACGGCGCCACTGTGTTCAAGTACCGTTTGTAATTTACTGCGATGTACGCACCTTCGTCGAAGCCACTGCTCCCTCTTTAGGGCTTGAGCCGGCCACGAGTTCACTTAACGATCCCAGAAAGAAAATCACGCCTACCAACACATGCCCTAACACAATTAAGGCCATATATACTACATATATACTGGGCGAGAACTACAGTGATCACATGCACATCTACAAAGATGACTCGACTACGTCGTCCAGTTCTGGTGAAGCAGTGGTTATATCATCACAAGGGGTACCTCTGCAATTTAAGCCTTCACATGCGATGACGTCTACGGCAGCAGAACTCGTGTCTCTACGTTGTGCACTGGAACTCATCGATTCTGAAGAAAAACTAACTGAATGGGCTGTATTTTCTCACTCAAAACCGACGTTACAGTGCCTGCGGTCAGTTCATCGACGCGGATGTCACGAACAGTTACACATGACTCCGTGAAACTTGACCACCTCTTAATACAAAAAGGCCCCTCGACCACCTCGACATTGTCTTTCGGTGGTTGCCTGGCGGTATCAGCGGGAATTGTTCCGCGGCTAATGCTGCTCACGCGTCACATCAGGAAGCAAACAGCTTTCGAATTCGGATTTCAACAGACACCGTGAGGCAGATTTGTCAAATGGCCCGCAGTCTCACATTGAATGAGTGGAACGCACCATGCATACGATGTACCAGGCTACATGACCTTGACGCTTCGCTAGAGCTCTGGCATCCATCCGGCCTACATCAACGTGAAGGTTCCCTACCGCCTTTAGCTGGGAGCTGCTGTCACCAAAGTATCATCATCATCATCATCATCATCAACATCATCATCAGCCTGCTATATATACGCCTACTGCAGAAGAAAGGCATCTCCCATGTTCAGCAAGCAAACTCGGTCCTGTGCTTGCTACTGCTACTTTGTACTCGCAAATTTCCTAATCTCATCAGCCCACATGATTTTCTGTCTCTTCCTCACAAGCTCGCCTTCTCTGGGAATCCGGTCAGTTACCCTTAATGGCCAGCGGTCATCGTGCTTACGCGCCACGTGTCCAGCCCATGTCCATTTCTTCTTGATTTCAACGATGGTATCCTCAACTCCAGTTTGTTCCCTTACCCTCTCTGCTCTCTTCTTGTCTCTTAAGGTTACAACCATCATTTTCCCTTCAATCGCTTGCTGCGTCGTGGTATATGCACCAAAGCACGTCAATTGGAATGACTGATAGTGCGGTATACTATGTTTGTGACACCGACGATAATAACGAACACCTGTTGTGTCACTCTCCTCGATTAGTCCTAGAAATACAAGTACAGTTGGCAACGCAACTCGGACACTGGATGATGGGACAATTCCTGTGCGGGTGCCATTACAGCGCCGTCCACATCTCTCGACAGCCCACAAGGCAGTGAAAACCTTCTTGAGCTTTTTGTGGACGACAGGTTTGTGATAACGCCTCTGACTTGCGGTGGAGTTCTATACGCTGCAGTGAATTTACTCTCTCTCTCTCTCTTTCCTTTTCCTTCTCTTTCTTCTCCCCTCTTTCACACATTTCTTGTCCCTGTCGCTCGGGCACTCTTGACACGGGGGTCCTAACACGGGGGTCTCAAGCAGCGAGTGTCACTCGCTACTCATTCCAGCAACAATATTTCATTATGGTTGAATAAAAGACTGTAGGCCTGGCTATTTCCATGCTGTATGTGAAATATAGCTCTAAGGATGTGTCTCTTCTCCTCCGTTCTTGAAAAAAAAAACGAACAAGTGTCAACGATGAGAAGTGCTTTCTGCAGCCAACTGAATTGTTCGCATCAAATGAGGAAATCATGGTGAAAAAAGAGAGTCATCTATTAAATGCCCAACGAAAAAGCCTCACAAATTGACCAGTCGTCTTAGGCGAATGTATAAGGTTCCTAGCGAGCCTTTTTTTTTTCTGTACCGTAGCTGGTTTCAAGAGCACAATTTTCCGCAGATATATCATCTCATTTTATTCTGCGACATTCCGTCAGTAATAAAAATGGTATGTGACACTTAAGGCGTGCAGCAACTATCGCTAACAAGCAGGCTTGTAGTACCAAAAAAAAAACAAAGAGAAAAGCTAGCGCGCTTTAGTTTTGTAAGACTTACCAGTTGCGGAGCGGTCAGCAGAGCAACCGCGACGGCCAGGAACTTCGCGTACATGATCTATCGTTTCACTTCTCTCTCGTTCAGCTGGTCAGCCTGCAAAGTTTTGACGTCACTGAAGTTGATGTAGAGTCAGTTCCCCCAGGAATCTCTGGCCAGTGCAGCACGTCCGAAAAGGCGTTCCTGACAAGCTTCCTACATCAATCGGCCCGTAAGAGAAATATGATGACCGACGCATTTCGAAACTCAGCGCGTGCGCGCGAAGGAATTCATAAACAAAACGTCAAGGTTCTCAGAGCCGCTTTTGTTAATGTATAAATATAGGACAAGTATCTATGGAAAGAAAACTAAAATACGAACACGCATTCTGATACTCAAGCTGAGATGCACGAACAGGCAGGCGCTCTTCCGTTTGCGTAGGAGATATGATCAGATTAAGCAACACAGACAGCTTCTCTAGCTCGGCCTCCCCGCTTTGTCAAAGCTCATAGCAGTGCGTTTATTTATGACTGATAAACCACGTGCGTCGACTGGGATACTCTTAGTTGTGCTACTTTGTTCTGATATTCCTGGTTTATTGTTACTGGTATAAGGTCAAAGGTAGGACATACGAAGACCACGAGCGCTCGCTGTCTGTGTTTTCATGAAGCAGTGACGACTAACGCACACAGATATTCTGTTCGTAAACCCCCGCGGCACGGTGGCTATGGCGATGCTCACCTTACCCGCCCCGGTGGTCTAGTGGTTCCGGCACTCGATTGCTGATTCGCAGCTGGCGGGATCGAATCCCGGCCACGGCGGCCATGTTTTCTATGGAAGCCCGTGTACTTAAATATTTCCAAAATCTTGGGAGCCTTCCACTACGGCGTCACACATACTCAAATGGTGGTTTTGGGACGTCCAACTCCAGCAGGTATCACGCGATATCATTTCAGGCTGCCGATCCGAAGTTGTGAGGTCGATCCGGGCCGCGAGTTTGATCTCTGTTAGATTTCGGTGGAGCCGAAATCCTGGAGGACCGTGCCGCTAAGGGAAATCGCATTTTAAAATAGCGCGAAAAAGCTCGAGCACACATCTCGGCTCTCTGCTAGCTTGGCTTTTTTTTTTTTTTTTGAAGCAAAGGGTGTAGTAAAGGGTGTAGCAAAGGGTGTTGCTTCACAATACGTTGCTTCTCAATGTCGTCTTCCTTTGGCGTTGCAAACACAGATATATGCCGAGTCACAGTAACTGAGTGAGGTTGCAAAAGAAGATAATGATAATAATGAAATGATTCTACCCCAGGGCAGTGGGAGTGTCAGATTATCGGCTCTAAGTTGGTGATCCCGCAGAAACGTTCTCAGGAACGTTCAATCTGCTGGGCTTGATCCCCTGAATGCCTGGTCTTCTGAGCACGTTCGGCAATTGGTAGTATTGTACTTAAATACTATTGTATTTAAGTACATTTAAAACTATTTAAATACTATACTATTGTATTTAAGTACAAATAGTTGTACTTAAATGCTCTCCGAGTCCACCGGGCGAGTTAAAGGTCTGAGCTAGGCGACGGCCAGGAGTTCCTGACTACTGACGGCTTCTTCTGCCCGCTCGACAGACCGGTTGATGATGTTCACTGGCAGGACGGTGCAACACAGTCTTTCTGCGCGCGCTGAGAGGATCACTAGAGGCCTAAGTTTACCCCAGTGTTGGGTGTTATCCTTCGGCATCCCCACAGCATGTGTTCCAGAGTGGCTCTGAACCATCGTCCTTGCCAATATGTCTTGCATATGTCTTGAACGGGAGGTTTGGGGTCGCCGGGTCCGGTTAAGTTTTCGTCTGAAACTACCGCAAGTCGATCGACTTCTCTTTAAATAATTTAAGCACCCTGATTTGATTGATTGATATGTGGGATTTAACGTCCCAAAACCACTAGATTTGGGTGCACGTTAAAGAACCCCAGGTGGTCGAAATTTCCGGAGCCCTCCACTACGGCGTCTCCCATAATTATAGCATGGTTTTGGGACGTTAAACCCCACAAATCAATCAACGTCCCAAAACCACTATATGATTATGAGAGACGCCGTAGTGGAGGGCTCCGGAAATTTAGACCACCTGAGGTTCTTTAACGTGCACCCAAATCTGAGCACACGGGCCTACAACATTTCCGCCTCCATCGGAAATGCAGCCGCCGCAGCCGGGATTCGAACCCGCGCCCTGCGGGTCAGCAGCCGAGTACCTTAGCCACTAGACCACCGCGGCGGGGCATTTAAGCGCCCTGCTTGTAGTCCATTCGCTTTCTCATATCGCTTGGTCACACGGTGGTCAATAAAAGCTCATAAGAAGGCCAAAAATGCTCATTACCAGTGAAAAATAAACTGACAAGATGCAGTTTGTTATAAACTACAGAAATAACCAAGAATTGTTGGCACTAGTTTACCTCAAATAGCGAAAAACTCATATGAAGCATCCGGCTGATACATGCGCCACGTCAGAGATGGCGCCACCACCTCGGCATGAGCGCGATTACCCTGGGAATCACTGTGTTTCCCGTGCTACGCACATCCTCAAGTTTCGCGATAGTGGTGCTTGTATTAAGCGGTCGATTTAGAACTACACCAAGACCTACATAAAACTACATTAGCGTCGTATGAAGCACAGGAGGCAATGAAAAATTGGCCCTGTATCTGCATGTTACACTGCAAATGTCGCCGAAAGACAAAAGCCTTGCGTCTGAAGAGAGAAAACAAAACGTTTATTTGATGTTCTGCGCAAGAAAATCGGTGAATGGTATTTTGGAGGCGCTGCGTTAGAGTGCCTCGAGCGTGCAGCGGAGGTGAACGAGCGCATCAAGTCACGTCCCACGTGAGAAATGAGCGCTATCTGGCAGTAATCCTGGAAACCAAGCGCGTGGCGTGCGCGCCTGTCTCTGAGGTGATAAGGTTTAGAACGCAAGGCGATGGGTAGGTGCCACCACCTTGTCGTCTTAGCCAAGCGTTGGAAACACTTGCCTTTTCGTGCAAGCCTTGAATGGTCAGAGCAGCGTGATCAACGCTACGGTCCTTAGAATTTTTTATGTAAGCTTTTTCTAGTAAAAAGACACACATACAGAATATTGATGTGTTGCTATGGTGCCTCAGATATGCGCAATAATTCATTTTTAATTTACAATCGCACAAGTATGAACGCTAAAACTTGAGCAATATTGGTGGGCACTGCGGATGGTGTCGGCCGTTGAAAGTAATGTTTGGTCGCTTTGACATAGAGTTATATAGAAGGTTACTGTATGACTTTGGTGCCGTCTTGCGTACAGTTAAAGGCGGACAAAGAGAAAAATATATTGAGAGATAGACAGACAGACCAAAAGTTTTGCGCCGAAGGCCCCAAGAAAGACTATCGCCTATAAAAACGTCAGGGCGTGAAAACACGGGCATGAGAAGGAAGTTAGGATAGCACAAACGCCTTGGTGTCGTCACTTCCGTCTCGTGGCCGTGTTTGCGTGTCCCGTCTTTTTTAGGAGCGAAGTTCCTTAAGCCCGCACCCCGCCACCACCGTCAAAGTTCCCCTCTGTATCATCGCTTGCTCACTATCACAACTCTCTCCCTTTTTCTTCGTCTTTGCCCTCTCCCCTCAAACCGGCGAACCTGTTGACTGGGCTTGTTCGCGAAGCGCCACGCGTGCCACACACTCGCTCGCTCAGTCGTGTCCGCCTCGGAGCACAGCTCACGCTCCCCACATCCGCTCCCCACTCATTAAAGCAGGCAGCGACACCAGGCGCGTAGTCGTTTAGAAGTACACGTTGTTGGGCTAGTCGGCTCACGTTCAATTAGAAGCCAGGGTTGCGTCTATTTGACGCAAAGAAAGGAAGGGTTCAAGGGTAGCACAAATCGAACGTTTTCTCTCATTATTCCATGACGCGAAATAGCCACGATTGTGGCTTCTAGTTGAGCATAGTCATTTGTGTACCATTTCAATAGAGCTTTGCTCATCGGTTGTATTAACACATGGAATAAATGCTAGTTTTTAGAAATAATACATACCAATTAGCTGAGCTCCCTATACTATATTTAAACGCAGACTGTTTACTTATTTTTTGACGAGGCGGAGACAAAATGCCCCTTTGTAATTTTAAATGTTGCATTGTGTCATTAAATTTGGCTTACCGAAGCCCTTCTCGACGGCATGCCCCAACGCAAGTCGCTTGATCCCTGAACGTTGTTATTTATAATTACAAAACACCATTCTGTACTTTCGTCACGCAATTTTAAAGGTCAGTGTACGTAGTGCACATGTTTACCGTTAATAAATATGACAATGACTCGTCCTACTCTGTGGTACAGTGCTTCTGGTGCTCGGATGCTGACGCGAAGGTCATGGGCTAGAGCATGGCCACGATGGTTGCATTTCGACTGAGGCGAAATGCCAGAGGTACGCGTAGTGTGGGTTATCAGTGCACGTTCAAAAAAAACCGCATGCATGGTTGAAATTTCTATGCATAATGACGCGTGGTTCACGCAATTAACACGTGAAACCCCACATAGCATTACTCCAATTACGCCTTGCAGTGGGCTATGCATTCTTATATTTATTGGCAATTGTAGGAACGCGTATGCTATCAGCGTCGTCGACTCTCAAGGCCGAGAGTTGGCGTCGGCCACAGTCAAGGCACGCAACTCAGACGCAGCGGAAGAAGCGGCAGTCGCTCTCGCCACCACCACCTGTAAAGACGCCGCGGTAATTTTCACTGACTCGCAAACCGCTTGCCTGAATTATGTGAAGGACTGCGTGACAGCCGACGCAATTAACATACTGACGGCGAAGCCCTCCACTTCCATATAGCTGCGTAAGCAGGGTTCCTGGACACGATGGTCTACAGGGAAATGAAGCGGCTCACGCCACTGCCCGCGAGCACGTCAGCCGGGCTGCCCTGGGACCAAAGGATACCCGATCCGTGGCGCCTGCAAAGCAACACTTACATACATGGCATATTAATGCACCGCCTCTAACCAACGACACATGGCTACATGTGCCCGCTCTGCAGCGTACCAGACACCCTGGCACACTTGCTCGTGGAATGCCAGTGCCATGCAAACAACGATGTGCAATTGGAGCGGAACCAAGCCCCAAGAATAAACGACGACCACG